GGCTGGGCTGCCTTGGCTCGGACTCCCACGGTCCCACACCAGGGGACTCTGCCGGCCACCCAGCCACGCATCCACGGCTCCTGGGCCCCTTCACAGCCTGCTCGCACCCCACGCACATGCCGCACGCTGGGCCAGGTTTGGGGGCTCTGGGGCTGCCAGGACCGTGAGGAGACTGTGTCCTGTCCTTGCAGGGTGCCCAGCTAGGCCACTGCAGTAGAGAATCCATGTGGCACCGTGCCCTGCAGTCAGAGTGGTGGTCAGCAGAACCAGGGCAGGGATGTGGGCGACCAGGGGCAGGGGAGGGGTTCCTGACCCTCTTGCCCCCACTCAAGGGAGGGAAGGGCTTACTTCTCTCCTGTAAGGAAGCACACTATAGTGGGCACCCCTCCTCAGCAGCCACCTCAGTCTCCCCACTGCCGGCCTGCTGAGTGGGTGGCATGAGATCACTCGTGCAGAGGGCCTGGCGCCCGGCATGGCTCTGCGAAGTCACTTTCCTTTCCTACGCTGGCTTTCCGCTGGCCAGGGAGCCCCCCAGGCTGGCAGGGAATGGACAGAGGACAGACCAAGAGGCAGGCCATGGGGAACAGGTGGAGATGAGGCTGGGAGGGGCTGCCGGCCCCCCTGGGGTCCCTCTCTGGAGTTGTGTGACTCATGGTTGAAGAGGAGATGTGTCTGTTCTCTTTCTCTTTCGGGCAGTGGGGTGGTGAGGCTGCCACCCACCTACTCAGAAAGCTTTGCACAACGACCAGGCCCTGCCCATGGGCCCCACGATTGCAGAGCTGCCCACGGAGGTCCAGGACAGGTGGCAGAGTGATGGGCTTCACAGGTGAACTGGGGCATGTCCCTGACCTGATGTGCTGCTTACAAGGAACTCGCGGGTAAGCGCTGAACACCCCTGCACGCAGTGACGACCCCCTTCCCTGCCTGGTAGAAACCCTCCTTTCCCACCCATGGCCCGTTCTGTGGCCACTCCCTCTGCGGCTCCACTCTGGCTCCCGCACACGTGACTGGCACGGAGGGTCACTCCCCTGGTGGGCTGCAGGCCCCGGGCCCGAGCCTCCCTCCCAGCTCGCCGTGAATCTCCTCAGCCTCTCCACAAACCTGGCTTTCAAACATGGGCATGTGAGCTGTTGTCCCTGCACAGCCCCTCCGCAGGCCTGCTGAACCCATGTGTGATGCACAAACCTGGGGCAGGCTCAGGAGGAAATGGCTCAGGTCTGGGTTCAATGCCCATCAGACGGGTCTCTCCTACCCACATGAGCCGCGTGGCCACGGCTTCACTGCACTGAGAGGGGAGGGCCCCCTGGGCTCACTGTGGTGTTCCCCTGACCTACGCAGATGCTGCCCTAGGAGGGCCCTTCCCAGGGGCCACCCTCCAAGTCCTGCCAACCGCAGCCACAGAGGAGGGACAGAGGCCGGGGCTCAGTATGGTGTCCCGTGAAAATGCGATCACGATTCAACTTCACGAAGGGCCCTTCCTGTTTCTCGGAGATCAGGCCCCTCACTCCTCTGCAAGGTGGGTGGCGCAGGCCTTCGCGGGCAGAGGGCTGGGCGCAGAGCCTGTGCCTTCTCACCGGCGCCACTCCGGGAGGAGATGGGACTGGAAGGCTTTGTACGTGGTATCGAACAGAGCAGGAACTAGGTGTGCACCACTTAGAACTTCTCTCCTGAGCTGCGAGGCCCGCTTTGAAACATTGTTAGGCACGCCCACTGAGCTACTGTTGGGGACGCAGGTGAGGTGAGACCTGAGCCTGAGCCCAGGGGGCACAAAGCCTGGTGAGGGGCAGACAGTGAAATGGCAGGTGAAGTGCCACACGGCAGGCTCAGGGTGGCCTGTAGGCGCCCCAGGGCTCCAGAACGGTCTGGCCAGGAGGAATGGCTTCCTGACAGGGAGCTCGGAAAGCCTCCTGCCTGTCGTGATGTCCACGTAGGGCTCTGAGGGATGAACAGGTATCTGAAGGGTGGGGAAGGGGTGCCCCACAAGGTACAGCAGATGTGAAGGCACAAGGGAGTGGCCAGTATTCCTGACCCAGAACCCCCTCTGATCATCTTGTTCTCTCAAACACTACGGAAGGGTGGTCCTTGATCTAAGGGGAGGCTCGCTGTACTGCCCTGAGATCAGGGGCCCAGGGGCACACCTGCATCACTGACCATGGCCCCTGGGATCCTGGGAACTGTCCCCAGAGCCTGTCCCCTGCCCTGTGGGAGCTAGGGATCTAAGGTTTATGATACCGATGCCCTTTCCCAAACCCGAAGGAGGTAAAATCGATTCTCTGACTTTTTTCCTGCAGGGTGAATAACCCTAGATTCTTGGTTGTCTTGGGGAACAGTGAGGGTGAAGCAGCGGATTCCTCCCATGTGGGCAGGGTGCTGCTGGCCCCAGGCCCTCTGAAGGGTGTGCTCTCCTGTGGGCTTTGTCTAGCCAGCTGCCCCTCAATTTCTGCTTTACTTGCCTGACCCAGACTTCACCAGAGCCCAGGAGGTGGACAACCCAACACTACTCACCATCCACAGGAGTGGGGACTTGCCCTAGCCGGGGGCAGGTGTTGGGAACACAGGCCCTAAATTCAGGCCTGGGTGTTGCCAGAAGCTTCCCCACAGAGGGCTCATCTCACTCAGGGCAGGGGGCAGGGAGGGGGTGGTAGAGTTGCAGTGGGATCCCACTGGTAGGGATCCCCCCTTTTACAGCAATATGTGGCAGGATCTGGGGGTCTTGATTTGTGTCTTCTGGGGATAGCTGGGGGTGGCTTCTGCCCATCCCAAGTTCCCAGTTCTCAGGAGGGGGCCTGGTGGGGCTGCAGCCTAAAGGTAAAAGGCATGCCAGGGAGTCAGGGCCCTGAGGTTGAGGATTCACCCTGGGCAGATGGGTGTGCTGACCTCAGAGTGGGAGGGGGCCTTTACAGCCCTTGAGGGTCTCACCCTCACCACCTCAGCAAGTATGGGGGCCATCACTCCCACAGTGGGCCACGCAGACCTGGGCTTGCTGCTGGATGCCGTGGGCAGTGCAGGTGACTTCTCTGAGCCCCCTTCCCACTTTTACACTAACAATACCTAATGGTACTGTTAAGGCTATAAGAGGCATAGGTGGTCCTGGGCTCAGGGTGGGAGCCACATGCTGTCTTAGTTACAGATTCCTGGTCCAAGCCCCTCCTTGTAACAGGGGTGGAGGCCAAGGCCTGGCCAGGGGTAGGAACGCTTTGGCCCCTCCACATACAGTGGGACATTTGGTTTTGGCCAGTTGTGCAAATCACTCTCCCAGAACTGACCAGTTCCTGCCAGGAGGGGATCAGCCGTCAGGAAGGGTCCCTGGAGAATGCAGGCCTCTGCTATAGCCTGGCTACCAGCCTAGCCTGCGGCGGCCAGCATCTCACTTCTGTGCACCACACACCCTGGCAACGGAGGTGGGCAGGGAGAGGCCCCCCTGTCAGGTTCATGCTAGCCTGGGGTCAGCCCATCCGGAGCAGTGACCTGTCACTGGGTCTGACTCTCCTGGGGCCCAAACCGCAAACAGGCTTCCTAATCAACCCCAGGGGGCTGCGCTTCCCATCAAACCATTCATTATGTCCTTAGAGGGCGAAGGGCTTTTATGGCTTTGTAAACCCAGCTGGGCCTCTGCCACCTGATAAAAGACTTCTGCTAAAGACGCCAGCGGAGAAACCTGATCCCTGGGAAGAGCCAAAACTGCTCACTGGAGACACAAAGCAGCTCTATTCTCAGTGGATGGGGGCAGAGCAGGGGAGCCGGGAGTGAGTGGCTTCCAGGAGGGCCGGGGAAGCACAAATTCTTCATTAGGTCATTAAAAGCTTAATATCTGTCACTGGAAGTACAGTGACCCAGGCCCCCAGAGTCTGGGGGCTGTAAGGAGGCCAGCGGACCAAGAGGGTGGACGTAGGAAAAGGAAAGTGCAGACGGACGACGTGGCCAGGCTGCAGGACTGCCTCAAAGCTGTGGCCTTGCACACCCGCTGAGCCCAGGGTCCTGCCTGGTGGTTCGGCCTTTGATGGGCTTCAGCCTCCTCCTTCCCATCCTGCCTTTGGGGTTCCTGTGTTGGGCCTAGAGCCTGGTCCTGGCTCCCGACCCTGCTCTGGTCTGACCCCCCTGCTTGGGAGGCTGGATACCAGCACGGCCCACTGCCTCTCGGCAGCCTGCTGCCCTCCTGCACCACATCCTCTAGACCCGGGCCACCAGCGGCCTCCATTCCCACAGCTCCCCTCTCTGGCCCCTTGCTCCAAGCACGCCACCCTGGCCCAGATGTGCCCCTCCTGGGGTTTGTCCTCTGTCTGCAGGGCAGAGGTCTGGAGGAGCACACCTATCTCTGGGGAACGCTTGCCAGGCAGAAAGAGACAGGGCCCAGAAGCACACTCAAGCATTGTATTCTCTGCCACCACGGGCGACCTGCCAGTTCCTGGTCACAGCAGTGTGGCTCCCAGAACCCCAGAGTGGCGACCCCCGAGGCTGCACCTCTCAGTTGGCAGACCGTGGTCACTCATTCCTGCTCTCAGGTTCACATGACCCGAGGCAGGCTCAGCCTGGAAGCTCCGCGGGCTAAGGGAACCCCCAGCGCCAGTCCCAACCCCACACCTGCCCCTTGCAGTGACGCATCCTCACCCTGCTGCGTCTGTGCTGCCTCAGTGTGCTTGGGAAGGAGCAGCAGCAGCTGCTGAAGGCCAGTGTGCCGCCCGTGGGCACAATCAGCCGCTCAGCCTGAGTCTCTGGCCTTTCTCACCCAGGCCCCAACCACCTGCAAGTCTCAACTAGATGCCACGTCCAACTCCAGTTCCCACCGGACGATTAAGGAGAATGTCCTCACCCACCGGATGGGATGACACAGGGGATCAAGAGGAAGGAGCCAGCTCTGGGAAACGACCTGAAGCCACCAGAAATGGAGCCCTGGTCTGGCAAGCAGCCTGGCCACCCACTCAGACGGCAGCGCCAGTGACAGGGACCCCCTTCCCTTTGCGGAACCCCACGTAGTGACGGCAGTGCGGGTGGGCACTTACATTGATCATAGCATTCGATGTGATGCGGAAGAGGGTCGCCCGCTCGTTCACGACCTTGAGCTTCTCGCTGCTCTCATAGGGGATCCTGAGGCCGTCCAGCTCATTCAAGGAGCGCTGGAGCGCAGCGCCGTGCTTGGCGATGAGGTCATTGCACGTGCTGAGGTCATCTAACTTCAGGGACAGGCTCTTGAGGGTGGACTGTAGCTCACTCTTGTCAGCTGGGGAGGCAGTATCGTCGTCGTCATCCCCAGAGTCATCTGCGGAGAGCAACAGGGTTGCCATGGTCATCACTGACCAACATGGCAGGGCACCAAGAGGCCTGGGCTGCCTGGCCCTGGAGGAGGAGCAGGTAGAGCTCTCAAAACAGAGAGCGCCCTAGATGGGGCCAGTACCTGCTCCCTGCAAGGGTGCAACGCCTGTCAGCTTTTCTGGGGAGGATGCAGGCCCTCCTGTGTCAGTGGGAGGGGGCTTGCCTGCAGGCACCTGCCTGTGAGCCGGGCACCAGCCCCTTCAGCTGCAGGGTGCAGGCAACGGTGGGCTGTGCTGAGTGGGGGGCTGGAGACTGCTAGGTGGGAGCAGCACCCCAGACCACAGGGATCCGGAAGGAAGCCTACCTCCTCTCCCTGAAGTGCAGGCCGTGCCCAAGCTGCCCCAGGCTTTCCGCACCAACTGCATTTGCTCTCTGCTCTAGGCCCACCCCCAGCCACGAAACAGTCCCTGCTCCCTACATATTTGAGCCTCATGTTTGGGGCCTTTCCCTGTGTCCCCACTGCCTGGAGCTGCCCCACACGCCCCTCACCTCCTCAGAGGTCTCACCCCTACCCAGCCCAATGGCACCCAGGCCAAAGTCACAGCTCTCACCACGTTCCTGCTGGTGCCGTCCTCCTGCAGGAAGGCACCCTTATTTATCGATTGCGCTTTGTGTGCAGACACTGGTGTGGCCTCTCAACGGCTTTGTCAGGTAGGGATTTACTGTTCCCTGGGAACAGACAGGACAGGAAGCACAGATAGAGGACCTGCCTCAGAACACCCGCTGGTCTGCCGCCTCCAGGGTGCCACGTCAGGGTGCTGGGGCCTCTGTGAGTGGGCCAGGCAGTCCTCACTCTTCACCCCGACTCTCACCTCGGCGCACCCCTTCCTGAGAGTCTGGGTACTTGGAGCAGCCTGCTGCCGGCCCAACCTGTGTCCACAAGGGTCAGGGCTGTGGGGCCTCTCGGGGGCGCCCTGCCACAGGTTTGCGGGGGGTGGCGAGCAGCTGACCTGGGCCTGCTGCTGCTTGAACACTGGGCAGGGGTCAGTCAGGGCTGACACCAGCCTGTGAGCGCCAGGGCCTGTAACTCCCAACGGGTTTCTGAAGGGCCTTGATTCAGAAATACTCAGCAAGATATTCTGTGTATGTGTGTGAAGAAAATTTGTAACCCCAAATACAATTCTTTTTAAAAGGGACATTTTGTAAGAGAACAGATTGCTTCCCACAGCAGGCAGAGTGCGTGGGGGTGGCCCTGGGTGAGTCACTGCTCTGACCACACTGAGCTGGTGGCAGTGCAGGGCCAGCTGGTGGCGTGGGGCCTGAGTGAGCGGGGTGCTGAGGGGCCACCTCCAGCCTGGGGTCTCTTCCTCCCCCTACCACAGCCAGCCAAGTGCAGCCCTGAAATGACCCCATGTCTGGAGACTACAGGTGCTGGGCCAGGCTCAGGGCCATTCAGTGGGCCTCACAGGGGCCCATGGACAGCTGCTACCCTTCATGCAGGCTTAGGGCCCTGCTACTGAGGGGGCAGAGCTGGATCCGAACCCAGGTTGGTTTGCAAAGGGTTTTCCTCTCTGGATCACTTTAGAAAGGCTTCAGTAGCCGGGGGATATCTTGCCTTTCTGGGTGTGAGGCCCTGGGGGAGGCCCTGCCTCAATTCAGGTATGCTGATAACCCAGTGAGGCAGGTCTGCAGGCAGAAAGGGCTTGAAATTGTCCAGGGCCACAGGCAAGGGAACTGGCTTTAGAGCCTGGACTCTTAGTTACAACGCAACCTCCTGTTACCCTTCCAGGCTCAAAATGTCTAAAAACCAGAATGGCCTACTACCACCCAGTCGGATGGCTGCTGTGCACCAGCAGAGCAAGGTGGGGCGCGCTGGCTGTGGGCCAGCCTGAATGTGGCCTCTGCACTCTGAGCGAGAATCGCTGGGAGGCACAGCCTAACTCTGAGCATCTTCCTGTGCGATGGGCATGGGGGTGACTGCATTTCTGTTTAACTTGTTATTAAGCAGTACACCTTAGTAAGTAGTTCTCAGGGCCCAGGTGTAGATCCAGCTGCCAGGGACATGGGGATGGGCTTATTCTGCTCCCTAGTCACTGGCTGTGCTGTTAGGGGAGAGATGGGAAAACACCTGGGTCAGTTAATTCTGACCAGCACCATCTGTTCTATGGGGAGGGACAGTCCCTCCGGGAGGGACAGCAGGTCAAGAGAATGAAGGAGAGGGGGAGGGGAGGGGAGGGGAGGGGGAATGAGAGTACGAGTGGGTGCGTGAATGAAATGACGGGTGCATCACAGAAGGCCTGTTCAGGCCCACGGGTTCTTGGTGGCATGCACAGAGGTGGCAGGTCACACACAGGAGGGCAGGGCCTGGAGGAGGACGTAAGGAGTCGGTGTGGGACACAGAGGGCCTAGTTGGAGAGAGATGGTGAAGGGTGTCTGGCACAGCTAAGGAGCCCGGGCCTTCATCCCTTGGCAAAAGGGATCATGTGGGCGTTTGAGCTGAGGTCTATGGGACAGGCAAGACCGGTGGCCAGTGGCATGAAGAGCAGACTGAAGGGACGGAGAGGCCAGAGGCCTGTCAGGGCCAGGGCCAAGAGAGGGCAGGAGGCCAGGGGCTGGGAAGAACAAGACTCTCGATCCAGCCCGGACATGCCGATGGCAGCGCGCCCCAGCTCCGAGACCATGAACAGCCGGGGATGGCCACGTCCCCACGCAGTCCCCGCACTCCCCTCAAGGCCCAGGGAGGAGGAGGGGGGTTTCGCTCAGCTGCTGACATGTGGCCTGGCCCCCACAGTCCCACCATGTCTTGGGCTCTTCGGGCACATGCTGAGCACAGTGGTGTGAACCCCCTCTCAGGCCTGGGCAGAAGCAGAGCTAAACAATGGAGACCTCCAAACCGGTGCGCTCTGGCCATACGGAGTCCCCAGGTCTCAGTTCAGGGTCAGGCATCCTTGCAGGAAGCAAACACACGTTGGAAAGGCAGCTGAAACTCAGTATTAGAGACGCAAATAAAACTACTTCATGTGACATTCCTCCAATCAGAAAAAGAAGGAATGGCATTAAATTAGCTAATGCTTTGTGAAGGACAAACGGGCAGATACCCACCCAGAGCCAAGAAAACGGCTCTTCAGGTTCCACTGCCCACCCCGTCCTGGGACAGGAACTCTGCTGGCAAGGAACTTAGTACAAAGGAAGGAACACACTTGTATGTCCAAAGTTGTTTAGGCCCGTGGTTTGCAAGCTTATGGCCTTGGGGGTTCTCGAGCTTTTATATTCCTACATATCCTCTGTGCAATCCACACGGCAACAGCACAGCAAACAAACACTAACCTGTCTACATACATAAGATCCTACAGAAGTTCTGCAACAATACAGGAATAGTAGCATCTGAAATCCAGCGCCAGCTCAAAGCCACATTTCTGGGCAACAGAGGAACCCTCGCCATGGCTCCACATTCCCGCTGAGCCCTTTCCTCAGGCCACGGGCCGCGCACCAGGAGCCCGCTGCGGCAGTGCCGTGGGGCGCTCAGGTCTGCGGTGGCCACCAGGGCTGGGGCAGAGAAGTGGTGCCTGACTTTCCCTCTCAGCGTGGGGGGGTGGGGGAGGCAGGAGTGGAAGGAAACTGCCTTTACCAGGCAGCAGGTGTGAGCTGGGGCCAGTTAGGGGCGCCCCAAACACACAGCACCTGCCCTCTGCCTGGTGAGAGTACTTCCGCCCATCCTTCACATTAAATCTCAACCCCTGCTCCCTGCGCACATCTTTCCCCCCACCTCTCTCTGGGTCACGTGCTGTCCTGCTGGCCCTGCAGTGCCCCTCGCTGCCTGCCTCTGCTGAGCTCCCTTGCAGTCAGATGCTCGGCTTCTCTGCACCTAGCTGGTGTGCCCGGGAATGCTGCCTGAATTGCTCTCAGACCCAACCTGCATCTCGGGAGCTGGGGAAGCCAGCTCTGGAAGAGGCAGCTCCCTGCTGCTGAGTGACAAAGCAGCCGGGCAGGATGACAACATCCCACAGCAAACAGCAAAGGCAGTCACGCTGACACCAGGGCTCACACGGGGGCCGGCACTTGCACAGTCCTGGACAAATAACTCACATCCTTGCATCCTCGGCATCCTCGTTTTGGAGGCGAGGAACTGAGGCTCAGAGCAGGATGGGTCCTGCAGCGAGTGGGTGGCGGGGCCAGCGGTCCCTCCCCCCAGTCATGACGGCCATGTCCCATCTCAGCACAAGCCTCACCCAGGGGATCCCAGTGCATCCGGCCTGGGAGGTTAGCTGTCATATAACACCCTGGCTTCTGTGAGACCAGGACCATCTCCCCATGTCAAGATCCTTAACTTCATCGCATCTGCACAGTCTCTTTGCCATATAAAGTAACGTATTCACAGGTTCTAGAAATTAGGACATGGACACCTTTGGGGGCTTTATGCAGCCACCCCCTGAGTAGCTGCAGTCGAGCTGGGCACTAAGCTGTGTTCTCACCTGTCACGGGCGATCACGTCTGGTTCACTGTTCCTGGGGCGTGGTCACCAGATGCTCTTCAGTTTGGCACTGAGACTCCTACTTGGGCACAGAGACCCCACAAGTCCCTCTGCCTCCTCTCAAAGCCTGGCACTTGTGCCTTCCCGACTGCTCAGGGAGGAGGTGGCCTGGGGCCGGGCAGGAGCTGGTTCTGCACCGGGCAGTCCTGCTTGGACCCAAGTGGCCTTGGCCCAGCATGCTGGCCCATATGCCGAGGACATTAACACCTTCTCTGGAGAAGGATCTAAGCGCCCAGGGCATGGCCAGCGCAGAGCTGGGACTTACTGGTCCCGGCCCAGCAACATCCTGGTCACCTTCACTGGTAAAGCTCACTTTTGCACAGAAGAGGTCTTTCTTCTTATGTTTCCTTCAAATCACAGAGGCCTGCAGCCAGAGGAGCCCGTGTTTGCTACCCCAACGCCCCTGGGGCTCTCCCCGAACCCTTTAACATCTGGCTCTGGCTGAGGAGTCCCCTGGGCACTCACACCAGGGCCAG